GGTATTAACCCAAACATATGTGGCCAATTAGTATAAGATAAAGGAGCCATGGACATACAATGGGGAAATGACAGTCTCTTCAACAGTTGGTGTTAGTGAAACTTCGCAGCTACATGTAAGAGAATGAAACTGGATCATTGTCTAACCACGTACACAAAAGTAAATTCGAAATGGATCAAAGACCTGAATGTAAGCCATGAAACCATAAAACTCTTAGAAAAAAACATAGGCAAAAATCTCTTGGACATAAACATGAGCAACTTCTTCATGAACATATCTCCCCGGGCAAGAGAAACAAAAGCAAAAATATCCAAGTGGGACTATATCAGGCTAAAAAGCTTCTGTACAGCAAAGAATATCATCAATAGAACATAAAGGTATCCTACAGTATGGGAGAATATGTTCATAAATGACAGATCCGATAAAGGGTTGACATCCATAATATATAAAGAGCTCACACACCTCAACAAACAAGAAGCAAATAATCCAATTAGAAAATGGGCAGAGGAGCTGAATAGACAGTTCTCCAAAGAAGAAATCCAGATGGCCAACAGACACATGAAAAGATGCTGCACATTGCTAGTCATAATAGAAATGCAAATTAAAACCACAATGAGATATCACCTCACACCAGTAAGGATGGCCACCATCCAAAAGGCAAACAACAATAGATGTTGGTTAGGTTGTGGAGAAAGGGGAACCCTCCTACCCTGCTGGTGGGATTGTAAATTAATTCAACCATTGTGGAAAGCAGTATGGAGGTTCCTCAAAAAGCTCAAAATAAAAATACCATTTGACTCAGGAATTCCACTTCTAGGAATTTATCCTAAGAATGCAGCAGCCCAGTTTGAAAAAGATAGATGCACCCCTATGTTTATTGCAGTACTATTTACAATAGCCAAAATACGGAAGCAACCTAAATGTCTATCAGTAGACGAATGGATAAAGAAGTTGTGGTGCATATACACAATGGAATATTATTCAACCATAAGAAGAAAACAAATCCTACAATTTGCAACAACATGGATGGAGCTAGAGGGTATTATGCTCAGTGAAATAAGCCAGGTGGAGAAAGACAAATACCAAATGATTTCACTATCTGTGGAGTATAAGAACAAAGAAAAACTGAAGGAACAAAACAGCAGCAGAATCACAGAACCCAAGAATGGACTAATAGTTACCAAAGGGAAAGGGACCGGGAAGGATGGGTCAGAAGGGAGTGATAAGGGGGAGGGGAAAGAAAGGGGGCATTATGATTAGCATGTATAATGTGGGAGGGGTGACAGGGAGGGCTGTCCCACACAGAGAAGACAAGTAGTGATTCTACAGCATATTACTAAACTGGACAGTGACTGTAATGGGGTTTGTGGGGGGCACTTGGTGAAGGGGGGAAAGTAGTAAACATAATGTTCCTCATGTAATTGTAGATTAATGATACAAAAAAAATTATGTCAGGTTTTGGATGAGGTTCTAAATATGGTAAAGATGTACTTCTTAAAATTCTTTATTTTATCATATTGTTTGTTATCAAATATTGCGTATGTTTTTAAGATGATTTGGACTTTTGAATAGGATAATAATAGGAAATCCCAAATTGGTTGTAAATTCAATGGTATGACTATGCCTTACAGATGAAAGTCTGTCACAGTTGTGAAATATAGTATTCAGTGTTAGTAGTCCATGTCTTCAAATATGTTGTCATAAAAAGGAGATTCCCAACATGAAGTTTTTCTTACTTTTTAGAGTGGAAAATAGTTTTTATGAACACTTTGTCTCAAAAATTTAAATAGCATTTAAATATTTAACAGAATATAGCAATAATTTCCAATAAAACTATGATGTTAAGAAAGCAGAGTCAGATAGAATGTTTTATGTATCAAGCAGGAATTTGTAGGCAATGCGGTTTATAAGGAAATAAAGCTGTTGATTTCCCATATAATGTGTTAATTTTTAACAGTATGTCCTGTTTGTTATTTTAAGTCCTCACTTTTCTTTCTCTTTGATCTTTGGCAGGAACAGAAATAAGTGATTCAGAGGGTTTCTGATTAGTTGGGTGTAATTTGTTACTTATACGTTATACGTTATACATTGTGATATCCCACACAGGCACAGATAGGTAGCTGAAAACAAAGAATGATATCATGGGATTATCCACTATATTCTCTGTGCTGTACTTTCATTACTGTGATTAATTTATATCATGACCGAGAGTTAGTGCCTCTTTATCCCCTTCACCTGTTTCACCTACCCACCCCAATCCTTCCCCAATGATAACCACTAGTCCCTTCTCAGTGTCTATGACACTGAGTGCTGTTTTGTTCATTTACTTTGTTTTATATTTTAGATTCCACCTGTAAGTGAAATCATATGGTATTTGTCTTTCTCTGCATGGCATATTTCACTTAGCGTAATATCCTCTAGGTCCATCCATGTTCCAAATGGCAAAATTTCTTTCTTTTTGATGTCCCACTAATATTCCATTGTGTATATGTACCACATCTTCTTTATCCATTCATCTATTGATGGACACTTAGGTTGCTTCCTTATCTTGGCTATTTTAAGTAATATGGCAGTAAACATAGGGGTGCATATATCTTTTCAAATTAAGAGATTTTGTTTTCTTAGGGTAAATTCTTAGAAATGGAATTGCTGGGTCATATGGTATATTCTATTTTTACTTTTTTGAGGAACCTCCATATTACTTTCCACAGTGTACCAGTTCACATTCCTACCAACAGTGTAGGAGGGTTCCCTTTTCTCCACATCCTCACCAACACTTGTTATTTCTTGTCATTTGCATAGTTACCAATCTAACTGGTGTGAAGTGATATCTTATTGTAATTTCAATTTGCATTTCCCTGATTAGCTAAGTGGGGCATCTTTTCATGTATCTTTTTACCATCTGTATGCCTTCTTTGGAAAAAATGTCCATTCAGGCCCTCTGACCATTTTTTAATTGGGTTATTTGTTTTATTTGTTGTTGAGATATATGAGGTCTGTATATATTTTGGATCTTAGCCCAACATATATATATATATATGTAGGACCCATTTGTGAATATATTCTCCCATACAGTAGGTTGACAAATGTTTTATTATTTCTAATACTTTTCTTTTTACATTTGGCTTCTTCAGCCATCTGAAATTTATTTCTTTATGGCATGAGGCAGATAGGACACTTTTATCTCTTTATAATAATTATTCAAATATCATTTATTGACTTACCCATCTCCATTGATTTGAAATATAAATTTTATAATAAATTCTTGTATATATGGGTAATAAGATGATTTTTTATTATAGTCTGTTTCATATTTGTATAATGACATTCTTGTGCTAAATTTAATTTTCTATTTTTTTGATATTGTGGAGGAAAGAGATGTTTAGTGTTTTGGGGGAAAGTAATATATGCCCTGAATTTTTTTATTATATTCATTTTGTTCATTCGAGTATTTTTTATCTAAAATAAGTTCTTATTTTTCATGCTCTAATCACTCCTCAAATATTTGTATACTGTTTTCTATCCTTTGTATTTTAAATTGTGTACCAGACAGATTTCTGGTTGCTACCATAAGTTTTTGTATTTTGTTACTGTTATTTTTTGCCTTTTTAGCAGCTCTCAGTGTGCTTACATCGAATGCTTTTCTCCAGTATATAAAACACTTTACTGGAGTTCTTTGTAAATATGAAGAAATATGTTTAGGAAGAAATTTGAGAGTCTGTATTTTTGCCTACATAAGCTTACATTTGAGTTTGTAGCACCTTGGAATATTTTCACTCATTGATGAATCTGCTTTGTTTTCACCTACCTATCTGTGCCTGTGTGAGATTCTACTAGTTATATAGGCTCTGTTTTGTTTCTCTCTGGAACCAATAGTTCCATTCTTAGAGAGCCTCTCCATCTTAGAAAGATCTCCAATGTGCTTACAATTCTTCTCATGTCAGTGACTAGGAGGGAGTTTCTCAGTCACATATTTTGAACTCTTGGGATGGAAAACAGTAAGACTGGCATGTGTGATCACAGGCTGCTCTTCAGTTTCTTACTTTGATTGTGACCTGCTCATTCTCATATGCTGGGAATCTCTGTTGGGATCCACAGAGAAGCCTTTTACTTTCTCTGACGTGGTATCCTTTTGTCTCTCTTGCGTTATGCTTTTCTTTATTTTCACTATCAATCTCATCTGATTGCTATCTATTTCTGGAAGTTCTTCTAAAATAAATGGTCAAGTAATTTTTATTGACATACATACATATTTATCTAGAAATTTTTGTTTAATATGGGAATTGAAAAGAAGTAATTACCTATGCCCAGTCTAACATTTTGAATTGGATTATCTATGAAGCCCATAACATTCTATGTATTCCTTGTGTATTTGGTAATTTATTCACCTTACAGTCTAAGATATTGTTAGCATAAATCTACAGAACATGACTCCAAACAAAGTATTTGTAGTCTAGAAGAGGGATGATACTGTGGATAACTAAATATTTTTGAACCCTTATGTAATACATATTTACTAATTTTTGATAGTGTAATAAAATTCAATGGATATCATGCACCCTTGATTGTGTAGAAAGACTTTTGGGAGTAAGTGACATTTGTATTGACTTTTGATGAAGGGGTAAGATTTAGAAATATGAATGAAAGTTGAGAAAAATTGTGTGGAAGTAATAATAAAAGGATGGAAATAATAATAGAAGTATATACCTGTTTTGGAAATGAGAATATAATTTGACAAAAGTATAATGGTATTTATAGTTTTATCAGTGAATTACAGTGTAAGTTAGTTTACTATTTTTGAGGTGTTTAAATTTTTATTTGATTTTATTTTTTTCACAGTTTGAAACTTCTTTTGAGGAATGGTAAGAACCTCTCATGCTTCCTTTATTTATTTTCTCCAAGTTTTGATGATTAGTCTGCTATAGATGAGTTTTATTTCAAGTGGAATAGGAAATGGAAATAAGAAATTTTCATATTAGAAATTAGAATGTATTTTTAAGAATATAAGAATTAGGGTATCACTGAAAATGGCAAAACAGGGATCTCCAGGGCTTCGGCCTAACACAGATACCATCCTAAAATTGGCAAAAGTTGGTCAGAATCAATTTATGCAGAAATTTGGAATCTAGTCAACAGCTTACAACACTTGGGGGTAAAGTTAATGATGAAACAATATGCTGCATTACATAGAGAAAAAAAGCACAGTGGCATTTTAAATTGCCCACTTGCCACTTTCCAGGCCCCTGATGAGTGGTGGCCATGAAGAGTGCAGTCTGCACTGTGGTGCGGACTGCTAGTGCTAAAGGGAGCAGTATGGACCTTATCCTCAAAAAATGGGCTTCAGTGTCTTGGCCTGCCAGCTCCCTGAAGGACCAACACAAATGCTTGTCTTTGTTTTGCCAGACTTGGAGCAATCACAGAGCTGTAGCCACTTCCAGTTACTGTTTGCTGAAAGCTAAATTTAAAGGCACATATGTGACACCACTGTGAGACTATGGGTGACAATCAGGACAAGCCTTAGACAAACCAAAATGTATGGGAAAGAAGAGAATGGAGAAAGATATACGAGGGAATTGGATTTTTCAAAGCTATCTTATATGCTGGAGAATCAAGCAGTATACACAAAAGACCAGTGTTAGACACATGCTCAGAGAAGACCTGAGAAGACCCTGATCTTTTTCTTCTGGTTGAACTTTAGGATGTGTGGGCAAGAACTGAAGTTAGAGGCGGACCTGTAAACTGCATGGACAAGCGCTGAAGGGATGCTCTAGCGCAGAGGCAGTCTGCTAAGGCTGAGAGAGCATGTTCTACTTTTGGTCTTTTTTTTTCTCTGGTATTGAAAGTAACCTGGATAAAACACAGACTTACCAGTAAGCTAATGAAACACCTCTGTGGCCACACATGACAAAGATTACAGACATTACAAAAAATCTGAGAATCATTGAAGAAGCAGTCTGCCCACAACCCAGCAACAGACCTGGGAGATGGAGGATGATCTCATTTCCAGTTCTTAGTGAAATGCTCGAAATGTCCCGTTTTCTACAAAAAGTGGCCAAAATAAAAAGAGAATTTGTCCCATTAACAAGGGAAAATAAAATAAAGCACTGGCCCTGAGGAAGTCCAGACAGTAGATTTATTGGACAAAGACTTTAAATCAACAGTCTTAAATATCCTTAAAAACATAAAGGAAACTGTGGACAAAGAATTAAACAAAACCAGGAGACTAATGTCTAAACAAATTAAAATATCAATAAAAAGTTATAAAGTTAAACCAAATAGACATTCCAGAACTGAAAAGAACAATAATTGAAATAAAAAATTAATTAGAGATGTTCATCAACATAGTTGAGTAGGCACAGGAAAGACTTGTTGGAGATAGGTCAATTGAAATTATGCAGGCTGAGTACCACAAGCATAAAAGAATGAAGAAAAATGAACAAAGCCTAATAATAGGCCCAAGGGACAGTATCAAGAATATAAATATAAATATACCAGTAATGTGAGTTCAGGAGTGACAGGGGAGAGAGAAAGGAGGAGAAACAATATTGGAAGCAACATTGGCTGAAAACTCCCCAAATTTGATTAAAGTCATGAATCTATTATACTTCCATTAAACTCAGTGAACTCCAAGCAGGAAAAACTCAGATACACATCAAGACACATGATAGTCAAACCGTTGAAAGTCTGGAGTGAAATGTTTTGAAAGCACCAAGAGAGAAGTGACTCATCATGTTCATGGGATCCTCAGTAAAATTAACAGTTGGTTTCTCATCAGAAATTATGGAAGCTAGATGGTAGTGGGATGCCATATTTAAAGTGTTGGAATTAGTACTAATAATGATAATAATAAATCTCTCAAACAGGAATTATGAATCCTGCAAAAGTGTCCTTCAGAAATAAAGGAAAAATTCAGGTAGTCCTAGATAAAAGACTGCGGGGCTTTGTTACTGGCAGACCTGTCCTATCAGAAATCCTAAAGGTGGTCTCAGGCAGCTCTGAAAGGACAGTAGACAGTAACTTGAAGTCATATGAAGAAATAAAAGAACAGTAAAGTTAGCTACAAAGGCAAATATAATTCATTTAAATTTTGTATCTTTTATTTTTTTCTATAATTTAAAAAGTAAAAATCTATGTGAGCATACAATGTATAAATGTGCAACTGTGTAATCTGTGGAAGTGACAACATAAAAGGTGTAAAGGAACAGAATTTTTTTAATCTGATAGAAACTACATTGATTTTAATTCAAACTTAATTATTATGAAGTTAAGATGTTTATTGTAATCTCCAGGGAATCACTAAAAAGAATTTTTTAAAAACACCCAAAAATAAAAAATCTGAAATTCAATTAGAAGAAACATAAACAATTTACCAGGAAAATAAAATGAACTACCAAAAAAAAAAAAAAAAGGCAGTTGTGGAGAAACCAAAAAGTGAGAACATACAAGCAATATAGGAAACAAACATCAAAGTGGCAGAAGTAAGTCCTTTCTTATCAGTAATTTCTTTTCATGAAAATAGATTAAACTGTTATAAAGGTAGAGAATGGTAGAATGGATAAAAATAGATGGCCCAACTAATGCTGTCTATAACCAACTCATTTGAAATCAAATGACAAAAGTAGGTTGATAATGGGTGAATAATATATGTTATAAAAATAGTAATCAAAAGAGAGCTAGAGTGGTTATACTAATATCACACATAGATTTTAAGTCAAAACAGATTACTAGGGACAAATAATACTTGGTATCTTAATAAAAGGATCACTCCATCAAGAAGACACAAAAATTATAGACATATACATACCCGAAAACATAACTTCATGATACCTGAAATGTAAACTGACATAATCGAAAGGACAAGTATAGTTACATGATAACATTTTGAGAAATTAGTACCTACACTTTCAATAATGGATAAAAGAACTAAAAAGATGAAAAAGGAAATGGACTTGTACAGCACCAGAACCATCTAGACCTGACTGACTCATACAGTACATTCCACCCAACAGAAGAAAAAACATTCTGTTCACATTCACATTAAACATTACTCAGGATAGATAACACATATTAAGCCATATAGGAAATCCAATAAAAATAAGATTGAAACCATACACAGTATCTTCTTTGACTCAATAGAATGGAATTACAAATCAATAAGCAGAAGGAAACCTAGAAAATTCATAATATATGTAGAAATTAAAGAACATAGTGTAAAAAATCTCAGTGAGACAAAGCTGTAATTACAAAAGAAATTAGAAAATACTTTGAGATGAAGGAAAATGAAAGTGTGCCAAAACTTATGGGATTCAGCAAAAGAAAGCTCAGAGGGAAATTCAGAGCCATAAATGCTTACATTAAAAAAGAATATCCCAAGTCCAGTAGCCTAATTCTGTATCTGACAGAATTAGAAAAGATTGTGTGCTAAAGCTAGCTCAAGAAAGGAACTCATGAAGATTAGAGCAGAGGTACATGAAATAGTAAAAAAAATGATAAATAGCACCACTGAAAACAAAAGTTGTTTCTTTGAAAGAAGAACCAAATTCATAAACCTTTAGCTAGGCTGACAAAAAAAAAGACCTGAATTACTTAAAAAATAGGTACATCACTACAGAGTTTACTGAAAGAAAGAGGATTATGAGATAATGCTATGAGCAATTGATAATACTGTGAGCAACCAATAAGATATACAACATGAAATAGAGAAATTCCTAGAAACACATTAACTAACAAAATTGACTCAAGAAGTAGAAAATCTAAACAGATCTATAAAAAGTAAAAAGACTGAATCAGTAATCTAAAATGTCCCACAACAAAAAGCTCAGACCAGATGGCTTTGTGGGTAAATTCTACTAAAGACTGAAAGAAGAATTAGTACCAATGCACCTCTGCTTAAAAACAGAAGAGAAGGGAACACTTCCTAATTCATTCTATAAGGCCAGCATTACCTGATACTAAAAACAGATAAAAACATCACAAGAAAAGGAAAAGCAGATGGATTTCTTTATGAATGTAGATGTAAAAATTTCTCAACAAAATACTACCAACCTGAGAATACACTTCAAAACTACTAGATCTAATATCTGAATTCAGCAAAGTTGTTTGGGATACAAAATTAATACACAAATCTGTTGCATTCCTATACACTAACGAACTAGCAAAAAGAGAAATCAGGAAAACAATTCCATTCACAATTGCATCAAAAAGAATAAAATACTTAGGAATAAACCTAACCGAGGAAGTGAAAGACCTATAACCTGAAAACTACATGACACACATGAGAGAAATTAAAGAAGATACCAATAAATGGAAACACATCCTGTGCTCATGGATAGGAATAATTAATATTGTCAAAATGGCCATCCTGCTTAAAGCAATCTACAGAGTCAATACAATTCTATCAAAATAACAACAACATTCTTCAATCCTGAGATGGAAGAATAAAGTGGGGGGGATTATGCTCCCCGACTTCAAGCTCTACTGCAGAGCCACAGTAATCAAGACAATTTGGTGCTGGCACAAGAAAACCCATAGACCAATGGAACAGACTAGAGAGCCCAGATATAAACCCAAGCATATATGATCAACTAATATGCAATAATGGAGCCATGGATATACAATGGGGAAATGACAGCCTCTTCAACAACTGGTATTGACAAAACTGGACAGCTACATGCAAGAGAATGAAACTGGATTATTGTCTATCCCCATACACAAAAGTAAACTCAAAATAGATCAAAGACCTAAATGTAAGTCATGAAACCATGAAACTCTTAGAAGAAAACATAGGCAAAAATCTCTTGAATATAAACATGAGCAACTTTTTCCTGAAAGCATCTCCTCAGGCAAGGGAAACAAAAGAAAAAATGAACAAATGGGACTACATCATGCCAAAAAGCTTCTGCACAGCAAAGGACACTATCAGCAGAACAAAAAGGCATCCTACAGTATGGGAGAATATATTTGTAAATGACATATCTGACAAGGGGTTAACATCCAAAATATATAAAGAACTCACATGCCTCAACACCCAAAAATCAAATAACCTGATTAAAAAAATGGGTGAATGATATAAACAGACACTTCTCCAAAGAAGAAATTCAGATGACCAACAGGCACATGAAAAGATCCTCCACATTGCTAATTATCAGGAAAATGCAAAATAAAACCACAATGAGATATCACCTCACACCAGTTAGGATGACCAACATTGAAAAGACTAGGAACAACAAATGCTGGTGAGGATGCAGGGAAAGGGGAACCCTCCTCCACTGCTGGTGGGAATGTAAACTAGTTCAACCATTGTGGAAAGCAATATGGAGGTTCCTCCAAAAACTAAAAATAGAAATTCCGTTTGACCCAGGAATTCCACCCCTAGGTATTTGCCCTAAGATTGCAGGATCCCAGTTTCAAAAAGATATATGCACCGCTATGTTTATTGCAGTACTATTTACAATAGCCAAGAAATAGAAGCAACCTAAGTGTCCATCAGTAGAAGAATGGGTAAAGATGATGTGGTACATATACACAATGGAATATTATTCAGCCATAAGAAGAAAACATATCCTACTATTTGCAACAACATGGATGCAGCTAAGGGCATTATGCTCAGTCATATAAGCCAGGTGGAAAAAGGCAAGTACCAAATGATTCCACTCATCTGTGGAGTATAAGAACAAAGCAAAAACTGAAGGAACAAAACAGCAGCAGACTCACAGAACCCAAGAATGGAATAACACTTACAGTAGGGAAAGGGACTGGGGAGGATGGGTGGGAAGGCAGGGATAAGGGGATTAAGGAGCATTATGATTAGCCCACATTATGTTAGGGGGGCACAGGGAAGGACAAGTAGTGATTCTATAGCATCTTACTAGGCTGATAGATAGTTACTGTAATGGGGTATGTTGGGGGGACTTGATAATAGGGGTTATCTAGTAACCACACTAGTAACTACAATGTTGCTCATGTGATTGTATATCAATGATACCTTAATAAAAAAAAGATGCTCATTAATTTTGTATTTTTAAAAGCAAACAAAAAATAGATTACATCATCTAACAAAATTTTCTAAAAATAAAATTAAAACTAAAGGAAGAAAATGCAGGAAGTATTTCCTTTACCTCAGAATGGAAAGTCTTTCCTAAACAAATTGTGTGACAATCAGACAACTCAGCCATCAGAAATATTAAATGGTAGTCAGATATGCAGGAAACAGTATCATTTAATTAAAAGAGCATGCAAATTATGACTCCCAATTTTATAAGAATTGAAGTATCAGTAGATTAGAATGTAATTCTATGTTAAATCTGAAAAGAGTGAAATAATATAGGTTATTTTATATTTTTTACATGCATAAAACTTTAACACTTCTTTAATAAGAAAAAATAATGAAAATAAAACTCCCTGCTTTGTTGTTCATGCTAACTTTCTAATAACTTCTATCAGGAAGAATACTTCTTTTTAGACACAATGAAAATAGGATTCAAATATTGGGCCAGACAAGTACTGATAATGAGAGTATTTCATTATTTAACATATAGAACTTTAGCTAGAAAGATTCTTTAGAAAAGAAATAACATTTTAATTTGAACATTTTATAAAACATTTTTAACTTCAAATCTAAATAGTATTTTTACCCCTTGTAATTTATAGTGGTCCCCCAGAAACTGCTAAACTGAAAATAGAGAAATAACTCTCATTATTCTCAATAAGCTACCTTTTTCTGATAACATTTTCTAGGAAAGCTCAATTTCATTAAAAACAATGCTGCTTTACTATCCCTTAAAATTTTTCAAGTCATGTGTAACAAATTGTACAATACTACCAGTCTACTATGCAGTAGAAACCCATTACCTATTAGAATTTCACTATTTTAATCTCCTATATAGTAGAATTAGCATGTATACTAAATTTCACCACAAACATTTAGAATTCAATCTGAATTCAGACACTTAGTTCACCTAAATTTTGTTTTACTAACTTTTAAGTACAGCATTTTTTAAATTAAATGACCACTTCTTTGCCATTATATAGGAGCAGAACTTCTTCCACAAAAGACCTTAATGAAGAAAGGAGTTTGGCTTCACCTGTGAAAGAGGTCAAATTAGAAGAAAAGAAAGGTAAAGTCGTTCGTTTATCATACTTAGACATAATGTAATTCCACTTGAAAGCTCGTTGACTTTTCTTTTAACATATTTCCAATTCTCACAATGGTCATATTGAAGAATTTTATAATTCTTATGAGTATGTAATAGAGGAAAGAACTTTCTGTATCATTTGATTAAATATTTATTTAATAAATATTTATCAATGAATGTTAAATACCTCATACTGGTCTATGTCCTTAGTATATAATGACCTCTGCTCACCTCTCAAGAAGCTGACTATAATTCTGGGCTGTTCAGTAGAATTTTCTGTGATAATCAATGGGTTCAACATCTGCATTATTTAATAGAGTAGCTTTTGAGCACTGGAAATGTGGCTAGAGAGCTGAGGAATTTAATTTTTAATTTTAATTTCAACTTACCCTTAAGTGTCAATAGTCATGTGTGATCTGTGGCTACCATATTGGACATTGCCACACTACATCTGTGCATATGTATGTATATATATAAACACACATATAAATTAAGGTGAATATTCTTGTCACAATTTACAAATGTAAAATAATTTATATACTGGAATGACAATTATACTACAGTTACTTCAAGGTATTTGTATCTATTCTTAATATCATATTAAACACGTTCTCCTCCCATCACTGTAAAACTTTACTAAACACCTTCCTTTCCTGAAAGATAACTGATAAACTCACGACTTTTTAAAAGTACAAACATTTGTTAGTTTTTCAAAACTGTCTTTTACTTCAAAGCTCTGTTTTTGCTGTTTTCCTTTTCATTGTTTATATCTACAATGAAGATAAAACCTAATCCATTAATTCTTAATTCTTCACATGACCAATGATTGCAGAAAGCTCAGTCACAGTAATGGATTAGTTGTGGTTATGTTAGTCATAAACATGTACCTTTGACTATGAAGCACAAGACAGTATCAAGAGGATGATTTATTGTAATTAAGTGTTTATGTTAAAAAAATTGCAGGTGGTTTCTTACTTAATATGAAGCAATGAAATTAATTGAAGTGGCATCTAGAAACAAAACTGAGATGTTAAATATAATGAATTGGAGGTACCTCAAGTTGTACATACAACATTTATTTTAGAAGGCTATTGTAGAAACAGTACCAAAGACATCTGTATACACATAATGACACCTTTGGTAAAACACATACATATCCAATGAGAAGTGCTTCAGTTTAAAGTGAAGTTCACCTCATTGTGTGTTTCAGACTGAAATCTTGTTACAGAAATTGAACTGTCCATAAGTTGTCCGAGGAACACAGTGTTTAATTTGTATGCTGTCATAAAACAGACAATTAAGAATATAAAGTGTCCAGCATGTAGTAGAATGTGAAGAAGAGAAGACAGTAGACCAAATAGAGACCAAACAAGGGACCAATGAGGTTGATGTCATTTTAAATTAAATAAGTCTGGAAAAAGACAATTTTTATGCATTACAGTAGAGCATCCTGTTTCTCAAGAATTCTATTCAGGTAGCATGCTGAATTTCTTTGACAAGCCCACTCAGTTTGTAGAAGAATTGTGTGACTTCTGAGCTTGCACAGAAGGTCACTGTCTTTATTGTTTAAAAGGAAAAAAAGCAAAGGTCTATTAGCTGCTTTTCTTCTTGATCCAGTTTTACTGTTTTTCCTCCAACCTAGCTCTTTGGGAACCGTGCCTTTCTTGACAATGTTTTTGTTTATGCCTTCCTGTCAGACCACATTGTGGCTAAAGTAACTGTTTGCAAGTGTAATTTTCACCAGAGTGACACCCAGATCCGTCTTCCTTACTGATTTTCTCCTGGAAGAGAGTGTATTGCTTAGAACATAATAGGTTTTCTGCCCATTTCTTACATAAATAGAGGAATGAATACCCATATTAATCATTTAATTGACATTAAACTATATCATTCCAGAGGTGTGAACCAGGAATCCTAAATGTCCCTCATTAAAGGAGTTACATTTTGTTATAACTGAATAAATAGAATTTGTAAATGATGATGAATTCCCGGCAAGGCTAATGAGGAATGTTATTACATCCTATGAAGATGTAAAGTGTCTTCCTCAGAACCCTCTGAGGATTTTCACTGTTGATATGATATAATCATTATGATTTCCTTTCTCATTGAATGAGAAGAAACACAAACATAACTTAAAAATAAAGCTCTCTAATACAGCTTGTGAGTAGAATGTGTTTTTTCCTTCAGATAGAATATGCATGAAGATATTGGTTGAGATTTAGCTATTCTAATTATTATATAAAATACTCCTTTAAAAAATCCACCTTCAAAGATTATAATGAATGTTATAATTGTATTATAATAAAACTGTCTTTAAAAGGTGAATCTGTTTTTCTAAAGTTCTCTTTTTAGATATATAAATGTTAAAAAGAAAATAATGGTGATACAGTTAGTTTCTGTGTTCCCACTTGGTTTATACAGTGACTGATTAATGAATGTGAATATATTTTCCTATTTTAAGATGAAAAGTGCTCAGAATTAAAGCAGGACATGGAAATGTTGCTATCAGAGGCCATTTATCTCATTAGAAGTCTAGAAACTGACCGTGCAGAAGCTGAAGAAGCTTTAAAACAACAAAAATTAAGAAAGGAAAAGATTGTCATGAAAATTGATTCTTGGTCAGTCTGGAGACTTCAAGAAATCCCATTAGCTGTGCAGAAAGGTAATACTAAGGATTATTTCATATTGCCATTTACTTTGTTGGAGAGGCATGGATAATCAATAGTAACTGAATAAAAATTCAGCTCTGTTTAGAGTGACCATATTATTTGCATCTAAACCAGTGCACTTTGATAGATATTATTAATGATAATGCTGGGTTTGCAAATATAAAGGAACACCGCACCGTGCCCATGTGAACCTGCTGTTATTTGGTGTTTGTTGGAAATATTCCATAGGATTTATGGTACCCAAGAGACATGCAAATAAATGTTCAGTACATATTATCTATAAGGACTACAGGAATTTAGTACAGAAATTGAGGTATTTAAAATGAGCCAGTTGGTGTCATTGGCCACATCTTTAAGTCTAGGAAAATGAAAGTCTCAGTCATATCTTAGGAACTACATGCATCTTCTTTTGAGAATTAAATAGTAAATTTTATTGGGAACTTGTAGCAGGCAGTGAAATTTAAGTCGCTTCCAAGAGTCATTTTTAATAAGGATATGCTCTCTTTTAGACTACAGAGTAAGGGACCTGTGAAGCAGTATACAATCTAAAGGCATTGATTTTTTTATTCTATAGACACTGTACCTATCAAACATATATTACTATATATGATTCTGCCTGAGGCTGGAATTTTATGCTATCATTGGGCAAAAATTTTAAATCAGGATTTATGTGCTTTATAATGGGTTATGTTAGGGTGCTCATATAGCCTGTTACTTAAACCAAGACGCCTTTGAGACAAAAGGGGGTACTGTTAATTTTTACTCATGGATAATAGCCAATATTGCAAGTTAATCATTGCACCTGACAAAATACATTTACCTGATGGTTCCTCAGTTATATTATTTTAATAAAATAAATGTAAGTTTAGTGGCTGTTTCTATCTTTAAAGTAAAACTGAGCTCACAGCTTGAACTCCCTGAAAGGATATCTTGCCGTGAACCTCCTTACCCAGAGGGACTCAGGAGACACGGGCCAACTCAAGAGATTTTTATTATCTGAAAAAGAAAGTGGCTGCGGGGGGGGGGGGGG